CTTCAATAAATTTTAATATGTCAATTCTTAAAAAAAGAGACTAAATTTCACATAATCATACCATTGCCCACAAGATGAAAGAAAAAATAAAAAGGAGTGATTAGATAAGACCTTTTTCTTTTTTATTTTAACGGTAAAAAATAATTAAATTATGTGTTAATATTTGTTGTTACACAAGGGAATCAAACTTTAGAATTTGATGTATTTCACTTGCTAAAAAAAAAACTTTTAATGTCCTTTTTAACTTGTTAAAAAAGTAAAGTTATTAATTTTATAAATCATAATTTTAAAATTGTCAATTCAACTTGTTTGTGGATATTTTTCAAAATTTTCTTAATCTATGTATTATGCTTATAAGTTGGATTAAGCTTAAAAGTCAGATTAAGCATTCTTAGAAAACAGGACGAACATAAAAATATTACAATGGACAAAATTTCACGAGGTTCCTTTAACTATGCTTGATTGAATTCATCATGTTCTACTTATGCTCAAACAAATACAAGTCCCACGAGCAACAATGTCATATACCTTGTTTGGATGTGAGAATTATTTACTTTTACAACATGTGACACACAAGACAGAAAATTCTGATGTATCTTTGTATCGTCGATTCTTGTGTGTAGACATTCAAGAGGGTGGTGTCTGGCTGGTGGAGTTGGTACCATCCGCCATGAGATGTCTTAGTCATTCATATGGGCAGGGTTCCACTTAATAGTCACATGGCATTTTAATGGAGGGTCATAACTCATTACCAATGATGCAAGGCAACGTTTGCAAATAATATATTATTGACCATAAAGGCTTTTAAAAGAAAAAGTGCATCTTTTCAACCAAACTTTACACCTGTCTTCTTTATAGAGGAAAAGAAGGTTGGTTAAAACATAAAAGAGCAGAACCCTAAGACAGCGGCCCCTTGCTATTGGAATTAATTATATTTTTTAAGAGGTATTGGCGTATAGATGAAGCATCATCTCATTTCTATTTAATATTCTATATAAAGTTTCAAAAATCAACTCACCATTTGTATTTAGTCTTTCGGATCAATTGACATTCAGTTAATTTGAGGTGCATTTTTCTTTTTTTATAGGTGGGTTTCAAACCCGTCCCTTAACAACTTGTTCAAAAAAAAAAATTAGGTCACCATTTCAAGATTAAAAAAAAAAAAATTCAAGTCACCATTTCAGTTGGAAGATGAATGAATTCATCACCATTAACTAGACGCACGCATATAGGACTCAAAGAAAAGAGAAGGCAATGAGGTCTTTGGCGTAGTGCGAAAAGATTGAAACCCTTTAACTTTGAGATGGTGGTTTTAATTTTTGTTTTTTTTTCTTAAATCAAATATATTTTTATAATTTATATATTATACTTATACTTTA